AACATAAGATGAATTCTGAAGGAACGAAATCAAAGGAGCTGCAGACTCCTCTTTTGATTTCAGCCTCGAAACGACCTCCGCTCTCCTATTAAACATCTTTAAACAGCAAAAATGAACAAAACTCAAATAAAAAACCCTAAGCCTATAAAGAAGAATAAAAAACCTAGGGTTACAAATCTGGCCTTGAGGAACCTCTTCAGTGTGATAGAGGTTCTTGTGGATGGCCATGGCGTAATCAACCATGTTCGTTTTGCTCTTAAGGTCGATCTTGGCCTTCAAAATGTATTATCATTCTAGAAAAATTAAGATAAAAAATCAAATAGATTAAAAATGAATCAAGTTCACACAAAATGCATAACTTATTATAATAACCATCAAAATCTAACAAAATCAAATGTGTAATTTCTCAAATCATGCAATAAAATCTAATAATTGTGATCTTCGCTAACACCATATCTCCTTTCTGAATAGCACTCATTTCTATTCTTCACCCAATATAAATCATAATCATAAGTAAGCAATGAATTTACTTACCTAGAGGGAAGAGAATATGAATCCATTCAGAAAGAAGAATGTAAGATTCAGTTAAAAGTGATTATGATATCTTAAGCATGCTAAGGAAAAAAGATAAGTGCGCTGCAGCCATTACTGCCATTTTCAGCAAAACAAATATCAGATGTTAAACTCTAGCTAAATGAAACTGCAATCAACTGCAAATATCAGATGTTAAACTCTAGCTAAATGAAACTGCAATCAACTGCAAAAATGGAGCCAAACTCAAAAGAAATAAATGTTACTATGATTGCATTTGATGTAATCAACTGCAAAAATGGAGCCAAACTCAAAAGAAATAAATGTTACTATGATTGCATTTGATGCGGTAATAGGTTGCATGACACCCCCCTACAGATAACTCTTAACTCACCCTTCAGTATATCCCCATTATATAACTCAGAAATGGAACCCTTGTCATTTGTCAGAAAATTAGAGTTCAATCATAAAATACCGAAAATATCCTGCTCGTAATATTACATGGACCAAACGTAAATCAACCAAACATTTATTAAAAATCCATTATATGACTCAGATAAGGGATTTTTAACTCGCATCATGTTACAATTTCCCGCCTTTGAATTTCTTCTTTGCCTCAAGATTTAAAGAGGCAGCTTGAACTGTAGAATGACCACATGACAGAATCCTAACTTTTACTAAATCATACACTTTATGCTCAACATGTATACAGATTCCCAACAAAATATAAACTTTTTCCAAACCCAACTTATTTATTTAAAAAATCAAACTTTGAGCACCAAATTAATGTTGAATCTTAGTATTCAATCAAAGGTTAGCGCCAACATCGACTCAGATAACTTCAGGCAATCATACAACTAAAAGGGTTAAGTAATTATTGTCTTACCAAGCTCAATACCACTAATTTTCTTAATTAGTCAATATTTCGAAGAAAATATTATCTTTTAAAAAATTGCCTTGTAACATATAAAAATTCTAAAGTCACCAAATAGAAGGGTAACAATCTCATGACATTCTTAGAATAAGACAATAATACATGAAGAAACTTATCAAACAAATATAGAAATTAATGTAAGGAGTGTATAATTGGACCTGTATACAAAATTGTTACTACCAAAAGCAACAAAATCCATGAAAAATATCACCTTATGTCGTTGAGAAGTTGAAAGGAGATACTTCTAATTTACAAATGAAGCTTTGTGGAGAATTGCTCGTTTATAAGGGGATCACCGCTACTGGAGCTTAAATATCCATAAAATTTTCATCTACTTAACTACAAATTCAAGCAATCATACATTAACAAATCATAAAAAATCATGTATCCAAAAAGTAATTGCATCTAAAACTGAAGGTGGAAAATTTCTCTTCTGAGAGAGAAATTAAACACCATAAGACAGAGAAACTAATTTCAAAAAGATACAGAGCTCGACCCATGATTCAAAATTCGATCTTGGAAAGCAAATAACCAAAGAATTGGATGTTGCATACCTAAGAACTCTGGATTGGTGCTTTTAGGGCTCGAGGATTGGAGCTCGACGGTGCTATGAGAAGAGGTGAAGAATTAAAATTAGTTATAAAATTGTTTTAAAACTATAAATTGAAAAAAAAAATTAAAGAAACTTACTGCAGGGGGGTTGCCATGTGATGGCGGTCGGATGTCAGCGGGGGTTGTGGGCGGGCGCTGCGGGTGGATCTGTGGGGGTTGCTCGGAACAGGGATGAGAGAAGGGGGTCGTTTGCTGTTTGGGAAAGAGGGAAAGGAAGCGGCGGCTATAGGAGGAGGGATGTTGTCTAATCGGGGAAGGAAAAAGTAAAGGAGGCGGCGGCTTGTAGAGGAGGAGAAGAGCAAGGGGGTGCCGGCTTCTTTAAAGGTTGTATAGGGGGGTTTCGGTGGAGGTGGAGGAGGAGGTAGTGGGTCGTTGAAGGATGCAGGGGGGTTCGGTGGGCTGGTGGCTATTAGGAAGAGAAGGGGCGATGGGCTGGCGGTTTGCGAAGGTGAAGAAAGAGGGCGGGTGCTGCAGCGGGCGAGTGGCCGAGGGAGGGCTTCAGATCTAGATCTAGATCTGAAGAGAGGAAAAGAGAAATAGATATGTGGTTTTTCTTTTTTTTTTGGTATTTGTGCCATTATATGTTTTGTGATTGTGTATTTTTGTGTTTGGTTATATGTGAGGTACGGAATTGGCTTTGTTGATTATTATGTGTGTTATTTAGATTTGGAAGAAAGCAAAGCTTGGAATGAAGTGTGTATAGATATCGATGCTGGTTATAGTCTGATTTGCGTGTATGCTTGATTATTGTATTTCTCTGGGTATTTTTTTTGTTTGTATTTTGTATATTTTTTTTTTAGTTTATGGTTAGGTCTAGTTATTTTTGTTATGTTATTTTTTATTTTTTTTTTGATATATTCTTTTTTGTATATTGATATATATATATATCTGTGATATTACTTATGATCGTATCTACTGTGTATTGATTGTTGTATGTATATTAAGTTTTTTTATTATATTATTTATATATTTGTTGATTATATTACTTATTATTTTGTTTCTCTTTTATTTATTTTTTCTATTTGCTTTTTTTATTTTTTTGTTTGTTTTTTTATTTTTTAATTCTATTTTATTTTGTTTTATTTTATTTTAGCTTTTTTCTATTTATAATATTTCTTCTTTTTCTATATTTATTATTTGCTCTTTTCATCTGGGCATATATTGCTTCCTTGTCCGCTCGTGTTGTGCGCGGTTATACGATCAAGATCAGTGAATTTGTGAGTGTGTCTGGTACCTGTGATAAACTCAGTTTTTCTTCGCTCGGATCTTAGACCAATGCCGGCCGTCCAGAACTCATTGACCGAACATTTTGGCCGGGCGACAACACACCGATGGTCGAGTGGCCGGCCGGAGTGTGGCGGCCGACACGTCATCAGACGTCGACGGTGCTGAAGAAATGCGGCCAAGCCGGCACCAACGGTCACCTATAGTGACCGTTGGGCAGAAATGACCGGACCGGGCTTGGCCGGCCCAGTCAAAAATGTCCGTTTTGCCCCTAAAACGGTCAAAAACGGCTAGATTATGAGGGTTTTTTGGTCATTTGCCTAGGAGGATGCCTCTATAAATAGAGGTTTTTTTTTACTTTTTCTCCTCACACCAAAACTCATCTACTTCTCTCTTATACAATCTTATACTCTCTTATAATCTCTTATATTTTCTAATACTTCTATCAAATGGCTTCTGGATTTGATTATGAAGAGCAACACCTATCTCCTACTAATCCAGAAATGAGTCCTCCTACAACAACTACTCCTCATACCGGTGTTAATTCTGAATCTGGTGACGACGAATCTGCACCAAGAGCTCCTAAAAGGCCGAGATCCGATGTGTGGAATTTATTTGAGAATATAGACGTCACCAAGGATGAACACGGTAGGATCATCATCCAGAAGGCTAAATGTGCGTTGTGCGGCCAGACTTTCCAAGCTCATCATAAGAACGGCACCAACCACCTCAAACGTCATATAGAAAAACACAATAAATGCCAGAATCCTCAAGGTGATATCCGACAATCTATGATTTCTTAATCTTCCTCTTCTGGTAGTCTCGGTACTTGGAATTATGATGCTGTCCGAGCTAGAAAATGCGTAATCTGGTTTATCGTTCTTAAAAAAACATTTCTTTTAAATTAGTAGAAGATAATGAATTTGAAGATTTGTTTAGAGATGATTTTTATCCCGCATTTATAAAAATTTTTCGTCAAACATGTCAACGTGATATTTTAAAATATTATCAGGAGGAAAAAGAAAAAATAATTTCTTATTTTAAAAATTTAAACTATAAATTTTCTTTAACTTCTGATATTTGGACATCTAGAGTGCAAACTGGTTATTTATGTATCACAGCACACTGGATTGATAAAAATTGGCAAATGTTTAAAAGAGTTGTTTCTTTTATTATAATTGAAGAGTCACATACTGATATTAATATTGCACATTTAATAATTGAAGAACTTATAAAACTAGAAATTGATCAAAGAATATTTTCTCTTTCACTAGATAATGCAAGTAATAACAATGTAGTTGTTGATTTTATCAAAACAACTCTGTCATTGCCATGTCATGGTAAACTTTTTCATGTTAGATGTATCTGTCATATTTTAAATTTAATTGTTCAAAGTGCATTCTCTGAAATTAAACCCATGATTGAAAAGATTAGAACAGTTGCTAATATGCATAATGCTTCTGAAATTGTTCTCGGTGAGCAAAATTTTAACTATTTGGTTGATACTTTTACATTGCGGGTGCAAGATAGCCTATATAATTTGCATGATCGGGTCCTCATTTTAACTCCAGTATTTATACTTCCCTGCTCAATGAATAGTTAGATTATTGTCTCCATCTAAATTGTTCTCGCTGCAAATTAGTAGAAAAATATTTCAAACAAATGAAGAAGAAAGATTGGTAATGAGAACACCACTCTATACATATAATGAACACTCTTTAATTTATCTAAAAACCAAATCAGAAACTATCAATACAAACAGCAAGCTAGATTTCTACAACCAAATCCCTTAATTTACACATCTACACTAGTTTCACTGTAGCTGTTTCAAACTCTCTAGTACAAGTTCTATCAGATGTTATAGAATAAGCTTCAACACAGTGAACACGATTGCAAACAAAATCCAGACTCCAGGATGAACCGACGAGCTTCTGTTGAATGAGCCCGTGGGATTATCCGAACCAAAAACTGTATTGGAGCCATCAGAGTTAGTATTTAGAACCGATGAGCCTGAACCAGAACTTGAGCCAAAAGTAGGATTCACACCGCTGGGTGCAGTGCCGATACCTGTGGATCCCGTGCCTGAGCCATAAGTAGGATTCGAGACAGGATTCAGGCCCGGATTCATGCCAGGATTAATGCCTGGATTCAAGCCAGGACTCATGCCAGGATTCTGGCCAGGGTTAATGCCGGGATTCAGGCTGGGGTTCACGCTGGAACCAGAACTGCATAGAAAGTGGTATGTTTTGAGTATCTGTTGTATATTTGATGTTTTGTGCAAGTGTCACTTGAGTTCATGGTTCTGTTATGTAATGTTCTTACCTCGATGATGATGGGAAGTTGCAAGTTCCACTACCTGATATAATTTGAAAGAATATGAGTTATGATGAAATAATTTGGATGTTTTGAATTTAAAGGAATGGTTCATGTATTAAAATCTGATGCAATATAAATAGAGAAAAAAACAAAAATAGGGGCCGTCAGCACCTCTTCCTCAAATTGATGTTCAGAACTTTACCATGAAATACGTGGCAATCCTATAATGATCGTATATGGTAATCTCTAAACTATTTTTGATTACTAGAAAACATGCTAGGATATCTTTAGGTTCCGCTACGCGCGATTACATACTACATCAGCCTACATAGAGATTACCTATTGGCAACAGTGGTGAATAAGGAATCATGGGTGTATTGCACTCTGATTGTTTTTTTCTTGACAATTTCTATCAATATGGTAACTAGAAATCTTGAACTTTTCTACATTTTATCTGTTTTGTAATTTTATTTCATTATTGTCTACAGCGGCAGAACCTCATGAGTGGTTAATATATGAAGGAACACTATCAAAAGCATAAGGGACTACTTGAATAGGCCACTAAGTTTACATGAAAGAATCGACCATACATGAAGCTTCATGGTTTTTTTTGTATGCATGAATTCGGGAATGGGATACCTCAGCAAGAACTTATCTTTTATGCTTCATGTAAATCACATCACATTCACGATGATAGCGAGACTGAAGAAACACTAAAAGCGAAAAATTCTTACTCGGATTAGTAGTTACAAGCGTAGCCGTCCCTCCAAAATCACAACTACTTGGCACTGGATTCCTCTGATAGTAACTATTAAAAGCATACGAAGCATGAGCTTGTAAACTATTCGGATTATAGCAGCCCCCTGTCATCTGTATGGCGGAACAATCCACACCTCCAATCCCACAAGCATAATCAAGTGCATTCTGAAGCGCATTCTCTGGCACATCGCTCCTCGCCACGCACCAAGTCTGCCCTGATCCAACAACAGGCGTAACGGGCACTGTGCCCGTTGGTACCGCGGTTGCAGGTGTTACAGGCACTGTGCCCGTTGGCGGGGGAAATGGATATGTTGTTACCGGATTTGTCACCGGTTGGTTGACTGGGTTTGTTATTGGGGTCGTTACGGGGTTTGTAGGGTTTGTTACTGGATACGTGACGGGATTGGTGGTGGGATTTGTGAATTGAGGGGGGATTGTAGGATTTGTGGCGGGACTCGTGAATGGAGGGATTGTAGGATTTGTGTAAGGATATGTGATTGGAGGGGGGATTGTAGGATTTGGGTAAGGATATGGGACTGAGGTTGTTGTAGGATTTGTGGTTGGATTTGTGATCGGCGAATTGGTAGGAAAAGTAGCTGGATTGGTGGGTGGAATAGTAACGGTATTTGGCGGCGGTTCTGTGCTTGGAACGGTAATTGGAGGGAAAATGTCATGAATCATTGTGGTTTTCTCGTCAAGAAACTTAGCTTTGGATATAGAGGATATGTCGATGAATAGAGCAGAAATCCTATTTTTAACCTCAGGATGGTTGTCTATAGATTTTTCCAGTTTCTCAGTGAATTCAGCCATTTCTGCGCCACTAGGGACTATCGAACTCTTGACATTGAGGAATAAAGGGATTTCAGGATAGGGAAGAAGAAAAGAACAAATATAAAGAGCTCTTTCGAGAACGGAATGAACAAATCCATCTCCTAAGTTTCGATCTCTACCCACGAAAGTCTCAATAAATATCGATGAATTGGTTTTATTTACAAGCCTCATCATGCTTGGGAGGTTTTTCTCAAGGTCACTGAGAGAGAACCTAAAAGAAACTTCTATTTTTTCGTCAAGGTCGAATTTTTCCAACACTGAATGGATTGAGTTAAATATATGGAGGAGGGAAGTGAAGTCATGTTTTGTGGTATTAACTACAATGGTGTTTATGTTCAAGCGAGGGAGATGTTTTAGCGTGTGGGTTTCAAGCCATGAGATGAGACTTTTGGGTTCAATAGGATTCAGAAAGAAATTGATGGGGATTTGAGTGTTGGAGAATGAATCTAAATAGGCTTCTGCCTTGGAATGAAATACTCTAAATTGCGATGATATGTTGTTCTTTTGAACAAAGGCTAGTGTTTCTTCCGGCGACCATGCTTCAAAGTTATTTTGTGTTGCATCATAAGAGAAGCCTACCGAGGTTCCTGCAAGGAGTTTCAGCAAAAAATTAACCACAGTTATTCAATATCTTACCTAAACTAATACAGATATTCGAACAAGTAATTTGACAAATGTTATCATGCAAAACAGTAGAGAAAACTGATACAAAACCTGCAGATGAAAAATAACTAAAACTATCAGAATCTACTCAAACTTGGTAAAGACTAGACAATTGATAAGAAAAGATATATAGGAGACACTCATAAAGTTAATTAAGGAGCATAAATGTAAAGTTTCGTAATGTGCGTTTTGCCTCAAATTACAAGTTTTCAATATTCTTTTCCCCGTCACATTGCAAGGATGGGGGGAAAAAAAAGAGCGAAAAATACAGGTACTTTACTTCGACTATAAATTAACTGCTCATTAACAGAGAAATATATATAAGTACCTCACTTGGCTCATATATTCAAAGAAAAATCCTTCCGAGAAAAATGCAAGTATCAACCAATTAGCTAACAAGGAGAATCAAAACAGCCTTAAAATGACTAGAAGACGGTGAAACTGACCTGAACAGTTACAAACGTGACTAAAAATGAGAAGTAAGGCAACAAAGAAACTTTTTCCCTCAGTTTGTTCTCCAGCCATTATTAGAGTGATATACGGAGAATTTTGAAAAGACCAAAGTGAGCTCTCCAAGTGATCTCTCGAGTTGCAGGATTAGAGTAGTGCATTACGCATCCAGAGTTGGGAGTTAAGAGAGAAGAAAAAGGGAGGGAGTGGTATTAAGAAGGGTAAGAAAAAAGATGAAGGTGGACAAGAAAAGTGTGATAAAGCTAAAGTAGAGAAATCAAAAGTGTATGATGGAAGTACTGATGGAAAAAAGATGAAATAAACAAAACTAAACAAAAAAAGACAGTGTAACATGGATGAGAGTGGACACTCTGTATCCACAATACAAGGAATCTGTTAAACCTCTCTAATCTTTATGATCCTCTGTCTGTATCTCTGAGAGAAGTAAAATTGAGGTTATTTTTTAATCATCACACTGGTTCAAATTGTTAACTTTGCAAAATTATGAGACCTGGAAAGAGAAGTAGTAGTCTTTACTTTTAATAAAATTTCAAAAGAGAGAGAGTCATAAAGATGCATCCTAGTTAGTTTGTCTCGTGCTTGTTTTCATGAATTTTTGGTTAAAAATCATCCTCTATATTAACGGAGAAGGGATTCTCCGGCACATCGCTCCTCGCCACGCGCCAAGTCTGCCCTGATCCAGCAACGGGCGTAACGGGCACTGTGCCCGTCGGAGGTGGAAACGGATGGATATGTTGTTACCGGATTTGTCACCGGTTGGTTGACTGGGTTTGTTATTGGGGTCGTTATGGGGTTTGTAGGGTTTGTTACTGGATACGTGACGGGATTGGTGGTGGGATTTGTGAATTGAGGGGGGTTGTAGGATTTGTGGCGGGACTCGTGAATGGAGGGATTGTAGGATTTTTGGTTAAAAATCATCATTTATATTAGGACATGTTTGATTGATCGGAAATATTAGAAGTAAGAAATAAATCAAATCTATTACTTCTGAAATTATGAATTAGGAAGTAGCGGAAGTACTTTCTTTTCTGTTTGTTTCGTAAAATTTTAAAAGTAGAGGAAATAATGTTTCTTCCACTTCATTAGCTTTTTTTTTGGTTTGGTAGCAATAATAAATATTGTTAGGAAGAGAAAAAGATGATTTTTCGGGATTTTATTTAGAGTATGAAAATATTTATATAATAACAAAATTGATTTTATTCCTAAATTGACTCAATTTCATCTACTTAGGAGGTACTTCGGAGACTTGAGGGTAGGAAAAATATTCAAGAAGTAGAGATGTCTTGTAGATGTCACGTCAACTTCTAAGAAAATATTACATATTTTATTTACTACTTCCGTGTAAACAAATAGACACTTAATGGAGAACGGATTTGTTAGTGAACTATCGAGAACTAATTTAGTAGTTCCATTACCTATACTATATAGTAACTTAAACTTTATAAAGAAGTTAATTGTTGTTAGCCACCTAGATGTAAGTTAGTTACAAGCATGTTCACGTGTTGGGCGCCATTTGTACATATTTATTCTTTAGAATTTTGAGGGCAATAGTTAAAGAGGAGAGTGAAAATAAGATGAGGATAAGTGGGACTTTAAGTCCCCATTGTCTCCATTTTCTTCTTCCTTCTTATCTTCTTTTCAATCATTGCCCTTAAAAACAACGGTAGCATCAATGTAGGTCGAGCCATTCTTATATAGAATGGATTAAAATGGGTGTTTAGGAGGGCTAAATTTTTGGAGCTTATAAGTTATGCTTGTTTTCAGTAGTTTTTGTCTTTTATGATCGAAATACCATAAAATTTATTTCGGTAGGATAGGTTTTTTTTTGTTTTTGTCAAACCTAGCGTATTTAGGTGAGCTTGTAAGCTAGTTTTTAATTAGCTCGGGTAAGCTAGTTTTTAAAAAGTGTTACTGATTTTAGTCTCCTCGCCTATTACGATCTGTGTTAACCAACAATCAACAAGATAGAAAACGACCACAATCAAGAAGAAAGAATACCGAGATTTTATTTAGAGTATGAAAATATCCATATAATAACAAAAATGATTTTATTCCTAAATTGACTCAATTTCATCTACTTACGAGGTATGTCGAAATCTTGAGGGCAGGAAAAATATTCAAGAAGTAGAGATGTCATGTAGGTGCCACGTCAACTTCAAGGAAATATAGGAAATAGCGTTTTTAAAGAAACAAACATATATTTTTTCTCTCGAAAGTAACATAAATTACGCCTATTTCATTTACTACTTCTTTGTAAACAAACAAACACTTAGGGGGTGTTTGTTTCACCAAAATTTTTTGCATTTGGTATGGATTACAAGTTTTGAGATCAAAAAGTGAGTTTTTTTGTATTTTGGTATTCCATATATGATGTTTGTTTTAAGAAAATTTTTAGAATATTGAATCCCAAAAGTGCAAAAAGTGCCAAATTTTTAGAATTGCCAAATCCTATCAATTGGAGAGGATTTTGACAAATCTCATAAATGAGTGTGCTTACCTCTCAATTGGAGAGGATTTGACAAATCCTAATTGTCTTTTTGTGGGAGGTAACCTCACCAAGATAGCATATTTATCACATTGTAAAATTTTAACATTTGGTAATGCTATAATTTTAGCTTCAAATATTACAAATTGTAGTATCCCAAATCCCAAAATATTAATGAAACAAACAACATTTTAAAAATCCCAACCCATAACAAAACACCTATGGATTTCAAATCTCATGGTGAAATTCATATCCTAAAATTATATGATTTGAAACAAACACGCCCTTAACGGAGAACGGATTTGTTAGTTAACTCTCGAGAACTAATTTAGTAGTTCCATTACCTATACTATATAGTTAACTTAAACTTTATAAAGAAGTTAATTATTGTTAGCCACCTAGATGTAAGTTAGTTACAAGCATGATCACGTGTTGGGCGCCATTTGTACATATTTATTCTATAGAATTTTGAGGGCAATAGTTAGAGAGGAGAGTGAAAATAAGATGAGGATAAGTGGGGCTTTGTCCCCATTGTCTCCATTTTCTTCTTCCTTTCTCTCTTCTTATCTTCTTTTCAATCATTGCCCTTAAGGGTCTATTTGGTTATTTCCTAAAAAACCAAGAAATAGAAATGAAAACCAAAAAAACTCAAAAAGTACAATTTCATCCATTTCCATCCCTAAAACCCACCCACAACATCTAATAAAATATTATTTTTATCTAACAACTCATCCACCACATCTAATAAAATATTATTTTCATCCAACAACTCATCCACCACATCACCATATCTAATAAAATATTATTTTTATCCAACAACTCATCCACCAAATCTAATAAAATATTATTTTCATCCACAATATCACTCAACCCATCTCATCTCATCATTTCATATCACTCACATCATCCAATAAGATGGTGACAACTCATTTCATCTCATCAACATTTCATTTTCACCTATTTCCTCCCAAAAAACTAGGAAAACAATTTCCTTAAGTGTGGGTCACATCATCCAATAATATAATGATAACTTATCTCATCTCATCTATTTTCTTATTTTTAAGAATAAACCAAACAAAAGAAAACAACCTATTACAAGAAATATGTTTCTTATAATTCATTTCCTTATTTTTTCGCCAACCAAACAACATCAATACAAGTTTTCTTAAAAAATCACTCACATCATCCTATAATAAGGTGACAACTCATCTTATCTCATCTCCATTTCTTTGATTTCCTTTTTTTTTTTAGCAAACCAAACACTCCCAAAACAATTCTTCTTAGAAATACTTTTCCATTTCTTTGATTTCCCACTTTTTTTAAGCAAACAAACAGACCCTAAAAGCAACAGTAGCATCAATGTAAGTCGAGCCATTCTTATATAGAATGGATTAAAATGGATGTTTAGGAGGGCTAATTTTTTGGAGCTTATAAGTTATGCTTGTTTTTAGTAGTTTTTGTCTTTTATGATCAAAATACCATAAAATTTATTTCGGTGGAATAGGTTTTTTTGTTTTTATCAAACCTAGCGTATTTAGGCGAGCTTGTAAGCTAGTTTTTAATTAGCTCGGGTAAGCTAGTTTTTAAAAAGTGTTACGGATTTTAGTCTCTTCGCCTATTACGATCTGCGTAAACCCACAATCGACAAGATAGAAAACGACCACAATTAAGAAGAAAGAATACCGTGATTTACGTGGTTTGATTGATCAACTTCAACCTACATCCAATGGGCAACAATACGAGAAATCTACTATGTATCAGGGAGAACTACAAGAGAAACCACTCAACTTTCGTCTCACAATCTCTCAAGCTCACATATATAATCAACTCTCATATTCTCTCTAAACTTACTCATTACAATCTTAAAGACTATAGCGCGAAAGATTAGGCATCACTCCTAATCTTAACTTGGGCATCACCCCATGAGCTATATCTCATAATTAATTTCCTTGACACTAGTTAAAAGTTCGCTCTAAATACATTTCTTTTAACTGCTTTAGGTTTATTTATCTTTCACACTAACGCTATGTTAATGCCGGTCTCACCACTCTATAGTCAATAAACTTTTATTGCCACGTATCACAAAGTTTAAAATGAGTTTTTATAATAAAAAACTATTTCTCTAGTGAGATAGAGATATAAACTTTGTAGAATATAGCACCCAATTGTATTAACATCTACAATTGGGGCACAACCAACATATCAATATATGTAAAAGCAATATGAAATGGTAGTGGACAACTAAAGGAATAAAAATGCAACTATACTAATTATATTTTAGTAAAAAATTTGCATCCCCTTGCAATGCTAGCTCCCTTGCAAATCCTGTATTATTATAATCACATGTACATAGGACGTGCAAGCCTTATTTATAATGGAAAAAACCATCTCCTAGGATGGGTAATAATATTACATTGAATATAAAATAAAAGCTATAAATAAAATAACTAAACTAAATAACCATAACCCCCCGCACCCGAACAAGGGCCTATACCCGTAGGCGTAGCCCATGATCGGTGAGCAAGTGCCTAAACCTAGCTCATACTCGGGGAGGGAAGAGGCCGAAAATAATATTACATTTCTAGCTATATTACATCAATACAATAAATGCAAGAGAATCGTTGTCCACTATCATCCATAAACATAACTTCCACGCAAGATGATATAAAGTATATAACTTAATCAACATTAAGAAATATGCATCTATCTAGTTATGTAACAAATTAGAAAACTAGATAACATAGGGATTATCCTAACTCAAATAGGACTATCATGCTTCTAACATACAACAACACTAGTTGTAAAGTAAGTGTTTTGCAATTTATACAAGTGTTTTTACTCTTAAAAACTTATGAACCAAAAATAACATTTTTGAATCAATAACTAGTATAACTAATTACAAA